ACCCCACACGCATGCACACACACGCGGCCTCGCGCACGCCTGCCTCGCACGCAGCCGGCCCCGCGGGGGCACACCCACAAACCACACAGGCTCACCCATCTGCTCGGCCGGCGCGCAGGCGCACGGGCGCTCGCAGGAAGAGGCGCCGCTGCCTTCCCGCTGCCTTTTCCCTCCATTAACTCCTCCGCAGCTCCCGCCCGGGTACCCCGACGCCCCCCTCCAAGCATCCCCTCGGCACCCCCGCGACCGCTGGGGAGCCTCCGCCGCGCTTGGCTGGAGGAGGAGGAGGAGGAGAGGAGGAAGAGGAAGGCCGGGCACTCGCTCTGCTGCACCCAGGAGGTGCTCTCCGGAGGACGGGGAGGGCAGGAGGGTGCCGGCACCCACCTCAGGTGCTGGCACCCACCGCGGCCTCGCCATGCAAAGCAGGAGCAGGGCTGGGGCAGGGCACCCAGGTGCCGAAGCGCCCAGGTTATTAGGGAGCCGGCGAGGCGACCCGTCGGGCCCCGGGGCGAAGGGCAAGGCAGGGCTGGAAGAGCAAGGCTGGAGCCGAGCAGATAAACACGCCGGGAGACGATTAGCCCGGGAGATGGGCGAGACTGGGAGGCCGTGACCTCACCCCGCGGAAAGGGCGACGCGGCGCACGTTAGCCGGGCTCCCCCCTCGGCACGGAGAGGGTGGCAAAAGGCTCCCGGAGGTGGCGGGGGACGTTTGGGGACGGCGGTAAGGCACGGGCTGCCCGCTGCCCCGTGGGGAAACCGAGGCCCAGCCCTACAACGAGGGGGGGAGAGTGCCAAGAGCAGGGCACGGAGCCGTGCCAAGGTCACTGGCACCGACTGGTGGCACCCCCAGGGTATCCCCAGCACCCTGACACCGGAGCAGCGGGGGTGGCCTCTTGTGTCCTCACCTTGGGGACAAAAAGCCCCTTGTCCCCCCCCCACAAGGACCTTGGTGACCCACCAAGAGCCAGGCAGCACCCACCGGGTGCCACGACCCCGTGCGCCCCCCCTGGAGACGCAGCAGGAGGGTCACCGAAGGGGGGCACCCCCCAATTGTCACCCCCACACCTTGTCCCCCCCCAGCACCCCTCCTGCTTGGAGAGGGGGAGCTCGGAGAGGCCGGGGGCACCCACCCCACCCCAGTGCTGTTATGGGGTGAAGGGGTCGGGGGGCATAAAACGGACTGCGGGGAGGGGGCAACAGAGCTCGGGGGCACCCGGGGGGGTCCCGGGGAGGGGGGGGGGGAGCGCACGGGGGCGCAGCACTCACCCAGCGGCCGCGCCGTCCACCGGGGGCCGCGCTCGTCCATGGATGGGCACGGAGCGCTGCGCGCAGAGGGATGGGGAGGGGGGGGGACGGGCCCGGGAGGCGCCGGAGCGGGGCCCGGCAGGGCGAAAGGGAGCGGAGAGGAGCCGTGCCGAGCCGTGCCGAGCCGAGCCGTGCCGTGCCTTCCCCCGCCGCTTCCTGCTTCCCTCGGCGCCCGCCCGCCGCCCCGGGAGCGCACGGCTGGAGCGTGACTCACCGGGGGCCGGGCCGGGCAGGGCAGCGCCCCGCGGGGGGGCGGCCCCGGCTGGCACCTTCCCGAGGGGGGAGGACCCGAGGGGAGCTGGGGTCAACCCCCCCCTTGCGCCCCCTTTGGAAAAGCTGGGGGGTTGGGGGGGGAGGTGGGGATGGGGAGGGACCTCTCCAAGGGGATTGAGGGACCCCCCCCACCTCCCCAAGGGGATTGGGGTGCCAAGGGGGGGCTGTATGATGGCAGAGTGGGGAAAGGGGGGTGGGGGGGCTTGGGGGGGAATGGGGGGCAGCCGTTGGTTTGCGTGGGGTGAGGAGGTGGGTGCTGACCCCATACCCAGCATCAGTGAGGAGGGGGGCAAAGGATAGGGGCAGCGGGGCCACCTCCACCTCAAATGGGGTCTCCCCCCCTTCCCCACATGCTGGGACCTCCATCCAAGCACAGGGCACGGGCGGGATCCCCTCCTGGCCGGGGAGGACCCCATGGAGGTGCCACCACACGCAACCAGGGCTGGCACCAGCACAGACCCCACAGGGGGGGCCACGGGGCTGGCACCACCTCGGGGTGCTGTTTGCGAGGACGCTGGCACCCAGCCCCCTCCGTGCACCCCAAAAACCCCTTGCACAGGGCACAGGAAGGGGGACCCAGCAACCAGCACCCTCCCTGGGGATGGGAAGGTGGTGGCCACCCCCGTGCCACCCCAACCACAACTCCACGGGGCTCTGCCCGCACGCTGGTGACCGAGGGGCTCAGAGAGCCCCCAAAAATGAGCTGCGTGGCCAGAGAGGGAAACCACCGGTCCTTAACAGGCAGCACGAGTCCTCGGGGAAGGTCGAGGTCCTGCCGAGCCTGTCCGGCGTGCGGAGCAGCCCGCGAGGCTCCGGAGAGGAATTTGGGCCCAGCGCTGCCGGCCATGAACTTGCAGCTCTCCGGGAGGAGATGCAGAGACCACAGCAGGGGCGGCTTCACAGCGGGGAAAAACAACCCCTGAAATATGGGGGGGCTGACCCGGGCTGCTGTGCACCCAGCCCGAGTGCCCCCAAACCCTAAAAGAGGGGCTGGAGGGCAGCATCCAGCCACAACCCCTCCAAAATCACAGCACCCCCCTGCCCGTGGTGCCCCCCTGCCCATGGTGCCCCCCTGCCCATGGTGCCCACCCTGCCCGTGGTGCCCACCCTGCCCGTGACGCCCCCACCTCCCCCAGTCCCACCATTCCTCACCCCCTCCCCTCCTTTTTTTCCCCATTCTATTTTAAATTTTCATGGCATTCTTTCTCAAGGATCCGGAGGAACAAATGCCCTTATCAGCAATTCTCACAAGGTATAAAGAGCCACTTTTATCTCGCTGCCTTTACTAATCTAGAGCGAGCCAATGCCTGTTAATTTTTTTTAATTTTCCTAGTGAATGGGTTTATGGCTTTGTCAGCATCTCCACGCTCACGCACACACACGTGCCCGCGCACGGCACCGCACGCCTGCACCTGGAGCTGGCCTGGATGGGGGCGATGCCCGAGCCCCCTCAGCATTTCCCGCTGTCAGCCCCCCATTTCCCAGCTCTCCGGACTCTGCCAGACCCGAACCCGAATTCCTCAGGCTGAAATGTTCCACGCCGGGGTGCCTCCACGAGCCGGCGTTCCAAAAGTAGTGCTGGAGCTTTGGCCGGTTCCGACGATGAAATATGGGGTGTGCATATTCCAAAATAATAATAATAATAATTTAAAAAGCAAGAAACCCCCCAGCATCTCCCCGAGAAGCCTCCAGGATCACAGTGCTGAAAAATCGCCGTGATGGAAGGAGCTGGCTCCCCAAAAACCCTGCCTGTACCTGGCCAAGTGAGCGCCCGCTGGAAATCGTGTTCCAAAGCAATAACGAAATGATTTCAGGCTCGTTAAAGTCTGGCAGCCCGATTCACCAAAACCTCAGCCGGCACAAAGCAAGCCCCATCCTGGGCCCAGCACCCGGCCGAGCCCCCTCTAGCCACCTCCATGACCAGGCAAAAAGCAGCTTTCCACCCCAAAACCACGCAGGGAAGAGCTGGAAGGGGGCGAAGGGGACGCAAAGAGAGGAGTGGGTGGCCGTGGCAGAGCAGGTCCCACGTCCCCAGGGGGCTGTCACCTGCACCCCGCACGGGGCTGAAGGCTTGGGCTCTGCGCTCTTTGCCGGTGGCAGCGGGAGGGGACGGCGGCGCTGACAGAGGTGACAAGTGTGGCTCTGCTTTTGCAACCACAAAGGAGTTTCATCGGTGCTGGAAAGCCCCGGGTGTCACACGAGGCCAGCCGGCCCCTCCCCGGCAAGCTCCGGGTTGTGCCAGCATCTGGCCGGCTGGGCCGCCTGGGGACACGGCGGTGGCACCTTGGGGACACCCCGGGGTCCCCAAAGCTGTGCCAGCCTCAGGGGACACGGTGCCGGTGGCTCAGCCTGAGGATTCCCGTGCACAGATGTCACCGGCACCCGCTCCGAGCTGCCTGGGGGACACGGGGGGGGGGGGTGGCTCGCCCCCGTCCCCGAGGGGCAGGCAGGGCGGGCGCAGGCTGCCCACACGCCGAGCCCGGGGCTGGGAACGCCAGCACCCGGCCGCGGCGCGCAGATGAGATGTGGCAGGCGTGTAACAAGCCATTAGTCACTGTCACCTTTGCCCGGCAGCCACTGGCAGGGTAATAAATCCAGCGCTGACTCCGGCAGGCCCGTTCCAGGCCACAGCTCCCAGCCTGCCTGCGCACCGGGCTGTGAGCAGCTTGCAAATGCAGCCTGCCCCCCCCTTCCCCTCGGTCCCCCCCTCCCTCGGGGACGCAGCGCACGGGCTGCCGCACGGCTGAGTCTGCCCACGGCGCCCCAGCGCCCAGCCCTGCCCTTGCTGGGGGCTGGAGGGGGGCACAAAACCTCCCCGTGCGCCCTGGGGGGGTGGCACTGCCTGCCTTGGCTCCCTGCCCGCTGCACCTTGCGGTGCCCGGCTGTCCCCAGCGCAGTGCCAGGAGCTGGCATTGGCAGCTGCTGCTGGATCAAAGCAGCCTGGCACGGCACGGCACGGTGTGGCACGGCGTGGCACGGCACAGCACGGCACAGCGTGGCATGGCACGGCACAGCGTGGCATGGCACGGCACGGTGTGGCACGGCACGGCACGGCACGGCGCACCCGCCGGGAAGGGCTGGCAAACCAGCCGGTCCTGGGAGGCGGCAGGCGGGAAGCAGGCGTGCTGTGATGCCTCTCCCAAAAATGCTGCCGCTCCTGACGGACGAGGCGGCCGAGTCCTGGGAGCTGCGGCCCGGCCCAGCCCCTGGGCTTCTCCCTCTTCCCCCCAACTCGGCCCCCAACGGGGCCTGCCCAACGCTGCGGCTCCCCGCGGCGCCCGTGGCCTGACTCACAGCCCTGGGGACGGCGGGCAGGGCACCGGGGTCACCTCCCCAAAATTTCAGTGCCTTTCGGCGCCCCATCCCCAAAACCTCCTCGTGGCGAGGGGGCTTGGGAACCCCCTCGTGCCCCGCAGCACCTACTTGTAGCTCCGGCGTCCGCACCCTCTGCATCCAAAGCCGTCCTCTGGCTGCGCTCGGGGCCGGGATCCGGGGCTGCGCCTGGGCTCTCCTTGGTGCCCAGCGGCCGGTGCCGGGGCTCGGCGGTGGCAGGCTTGGCGGCGGGCGTCTCGAGGGAAGGGGGGGCTGCCTGGAAGAAAAGCAGGACACGGCTCAGCGCTGGGGGCACGGCCACGGGGCCACGGGGACGCAGAGGGCCACGGGGCCAAGGGATGCTTTTGTTTTCCTGGCGGCAGATGCACGTGGCCGGCGCGCCGCGGGGCTACAGCTGGAGACAAGGAAAAGGCTTCGAGGGGGAGGGCAGAGGGAGGGCTGGGGGGGGGCCATGAATCAAAGCCGGCGTCCCCTCTGCCGGCGAGCAGCAGCTGGCCGGGAAGGCTGCTACCGATTACTCAAGCGGCCGGTGTTTACCCGGGATCAACAACTCCCCCTCGCCTTGTTCCTGCTGGGAGAGGCGGCAGCGGGCTGCGGGGAGGCCACCGCGCCGCCAACGGTGGGGACGGGGTTTTCACACCCCCAGCGCCCTCGCTCCCTGCCAAAGCGGCTTTCGCAGCCCTGAAAAGAAACACTAAAAAAAAATAATAAAATAAAATAAAATAAAAGGAGATCTGTTGCTTTTTGCTCGCTTCAGGGTTTGCTGCTCGTGCCCCGAGCAGCAAAACATCCCCGAGGTGCTGCATCCACACTGGGCAGCAATCCTACAGCTCCTGGCACGGCAGGACACGGGGCACGGTGCTCCCCCGGGGTGGGTGACGTCCCCTCCTGCCCCACAACACCCGGTTTGGGGACCAGAGGTGCAGGTGGAGGGGATTTTACGTCGATCCCGTTGTTGGTTTTGTCTTTTTTTTTTTTTTTTTTTTCTCAGGATTAGTCCTATAAACCCGGAGAGCCTAAGTGAGATGGATGGCACATGAATTTTGCTGGGAAGCCCTTAGCCTCAACGAGCCACACATGTGAGCAGACGTATAAATTTACCGCTCGCTTCCTGGAAAGGTTTAATTTATGGGATCCATATGGCAGCGCCGCGCAGCCGCCAGCGCCCGACGCCTCCCGCGAGCCCTCGAGTGGCACCGTGCGCTGGCTCCAACTGGCGCCGTGCCACCGCCTGCCCCGGGATGCTCCTTCCCTTCCCGAGGATTAATAGAAAGAGGCTCTTGAAACGGGCAGGGGACGACCCCGGGGAGCAGTCCCCACCCCAATAGAGCTGAGAGCGGTGCCAGGAGCCCCCCAAGCGCTGCCCTGTGCGAGGGAGATGTGCCCGGGGAAAAAAACCCAGGCAAAGCCCCGGATCCCCGGGGGTGCAGCCGCAGCAATCCCCTACCTGTGGGCAAGGGAAAGGGCTGAGGCGCGCTTTGATACCTAGAGGAACTAATCATTAATTAACATTAATCATCCCCGGTCATGCGTCACAGCGGCGTTGAGCAACGGGGGAGCAGCAGCCGGGGCGAGGTGGGGAGGGGGATTTGGGGGACACGGGTGCATCCTGCTCCCCGGGGAGCCCCGAGCCCCTCTCTTTTCCTACCAGGGGATGCCGAGATGCAAACCCACCTTTTGGGACGGGTGCTGCCTGCCCAAAAGGCACCCGGGACCCCCCCTCTATCGGTGTCTGCGCCCCCCGGGACCCCCCAGGGAGCAGCCGGAGCCCTGGGCAAGAGCCGGCGCGGAGCACGAGCCTCCTCCTCGCTTGGGCTTCACCCCGCGCTATCTGTCAGCAAATCATCCCCGGCTCCCCAGATAAGGAATAATTGATGCAAAGAAGCCATCTGTTTGCGAACATGGAATATCTGCTCAATTAGGAGGGATCTGTCCGCCCAGATAAAGCCGCCCAGCAGCCCCTCTCGGAGGGGGGCCTCCTCCCTGGCCGTGTCCTCAAAGTCTCGCTCCCAATTAAGAGGCCAGCGGGCTGATTTGGGGGCTCGGCTGCTCAGCAGCACCCCGAGGTGCTTGGGCAGAGGTGAGGGGGTCCGGGTGGGCAGAGGGGTGAAAGCAAAACCTCCCTGAGCCACGAGGGGAGCCTGTGATAGCCCCACTGGGGACCCGGTCATGGCCCCAGGCATGGACCAGGTCCGTGGCAAGGTGACACCGAGGTGACACCGAGCAATCTCTGCCCTACCCCTGCCAGGCATGCCCAGGGGATACAGAGGAAGACGTCGTGGTGATTCTGTGGGTGATAAAAGGTGGGGAGAAAAGCCTCAGAGCGGAGCTGGCGAGGATGGCACCCACGGGGAGCTCCCCCCGACACCACTGTGCCACTTCTGCCACCAGATCTCCACCCGCAGAGCCTTTCCTCAAACAACAGGGAGACCTGGAGCCGGGTCACACCACGGCCTCGGGGAGGGGATAAGGAGAGGCAAGGGCAAGGAGCAGCATCCCTGCATCCGTCCTTCCCCATGCCCTGGCCGAGGGCGCATTCCTCCTGCGCCCGTCACCGGCACAAATCCCTGCGGCACCGCACGGCTCTGGGGACAGTGGTGGTGGAGAGGGGAAGCAAAGGGCTCGCACCACAGCTCGGGGGTGCCAGCGCTGCAAAAACAGCACTGCAAAAGGGGTGAGCGCAGGGGCAGCACGCAGCCCACACCGCTGTGCCGTGGGGATGCCGGAGCCGTGCTGCTTCCCAGCCCCAGGAGGGCCGTGGCGCCGCAGGGCTGCTGTGGGGCGAGCGATTTGCCGCGTGCCGTGACGCAGCCGCGCGCTTCCTGTGCCTTCGGGACACCAGAAAGCGCGGCTTCCCCGTTCCACTTCCCCCACGCTTCACCTGCTGCTGGGGCGGGTGGCTGGGCGCAGCCGTGACGCCTCCCACGGGGCTCCCCGGCACCGCCAGGTCCCCCCCAGGCACCCTAAATCTGGCTGGCACCAACCACCCCGGAGCTCGGCGAGCTCCAGCACGGGCGCAGCAGCACCCGCGGTGCCTTTTGGCACCGGGCACCAAACCTTGCACCCAAAACCCTGCAAGCAAGGACTCCCAAGCGCTGCATGGGCGCAGAGGGGGCCACATCCTGCGCCTGCAGGGGATGCTGAGGGCTGGGTGCAGGAGGAGGAGGCTCAGCGTGGAGAGGGAGCGGTGCCGCAGGCAGCTCCAAGCCGCAGCGCCAGGCTTGCAGGGCACAAACCGCCCCCGAGCCCCCCGCATCCCCGCAGCCGTCCTCCCCCCGCCACCACCGCCACCGCCGCCGCCGCCGTGCGAGGAGGCTGCACTAAAAATAAAAAGGCATTTGGAGTGTTTACGGCTGAAGTGAGCAGGCTCCCCCCCGGCTCCCTTTGTCGGCGGAGCCGCCGAGCCCTCCAGCTCACGCTGGGGCTTTATCGCCGCAAGCCGGCAGCCTCCCAGCGCAATTACTGCCGCCCTCAGCGCAGCCCCAGCCACTTGTTAGGCCAGACGGTTTCAGCTGCTCTTCCCTCCAGGAAGTCGCCGCCTCCCTCCTCCTCCTGAGGCCTGAAAAGCCGAGGATTTTGCCCAAAAAGCGGGCTGAGCCTCAAGATGCCCCCCTCCCACTGCGGCCCCGCTGCGCTCCCCGGGGACCCCGCGGGGGGACCAGACCCCGGTGCTGAGCGCCCAGCGCCGTGTTTAAAGTTTCCCAGCCGTGTTTGCTCGCCGAAAGTTGGAACCTGCAATTACCGCCGCGATAACCCGTAATTAAAAAAAGGGGAAGGGAATAAAAAAAAAAAAAAAGAAATAAAATTTAAAAAAAAAAAGAAACAAAAGGCGCCAGAAGGAGACGCCGGCGACGTTAACCCTTCCCCAGGTGGGGACGTGCCCAACCCAGGTGGTCCCCGGCAGCGATGGGATGCAGGGGGTGATGCTGAGCATCACCAGCACCCCCCCGATCCCCCCCCCCCGTTTTATGGCACGGCGGTGCCAGCGGGCACCCTGCGGCACGGCACGGTGCCCGCGTGGGCACAGCCGGGGCCCATTCGTCACGGGGGGGGCTGTGGTTAGCACCGAGCCCTCCAGCAGCGCCAGCGGGACGCCGGGGCGTGATCCCACACAATATATTCATGCCCCGGGGGGGGGCACGCTCATCCCCACCTGCACGAGAAGGGACAGGGGACAGAGGGACACCAGTGCCACACTGGTGGCACCCAAGGAACCCGCCCTGACCCCATCCCGAACCCCGGCACGGCCGTGCCCCCATCCCAAGGACCCCCATCCCTTTGCTGTCCCCCTCCCGTGTGTCCCCCCCCCGGTGACATGATGTCACCCGCCGTAGCCACAGCGCCCGTGACAGCTCGCTAACGAGCTGCAGGCAGCAATTTGGGTTATATATAGCCCCCGAGTGACTGCGGCTAATTGCTCCCGCGCGCACCGGCCCCGCAGCGGGCTCCGGGTACCGGGAAGGAGGACGCAGCACCAGCACGTGCTCAGCACCCCCATATCGCCCCCAAAAAGGGCTCAGCACCAAGAGCTGAGCACCCCGAGGTCGGGGGGGTGCCGGCATCACCCCAACCCTCTCCAACCCCGAGCGGCATGGGAGGCAGAGCTATTTGTGCCCGGCCCTAAGCGGCTTTCCCTAAAGCCGCCGTCCCAACCTGTCCCAACCGGGGGCCCTAAGGAGCTTTGATCCCCCTCATTATGGGGTTGGAAGCGAGGGGCGCAGCGCCCAGCCCCGCTCAGCACCCCGGGGCTGCAACCAGCTGCTCCGGCAGCCCCTAAAAGCGCGACGGAGAGCCCGGTGTGCGCGCGTGTGTGTGCGTTTGGGGGGGGGGTCCCCTTTGTGGCAGCCCCCGTCCCCTCGCAGCAGCTGCCAGGCGGGGTGGCGGGCGCGCAGATGCGGCCGGCGGGGCGGGAGGCAGCCGCCGGCGGGGAGGGGAGCGGCGGCCCAAATTGTTTGCCAGCTTCCTCGAGGCGGCACAATGGAGGCCGCGCAGGCGGATCCGGGGTCAGGGGTGAGCCCGGCAATAAGTGGTTTATGCCTTTTGTGAAGAGGCTGAACTGACAGCTCGGCGGATTAACAAAGACGTCCTCTGTTCCCGGGCAGGTCATGTGGAAAGCACTGAGACGACCCCTGTCACTTCTTTTTTTTTTTTTTTTTTTTTCCCTTTTTTTTTTTTTTTTTTTGGCGAGAGCAGACGTTTGTGAGCGAGCGAGCGAGCGGGGAGGTGATGGAGAGGGGGAGGTAAGGGGAGGGCGCA